TAGTTCATCAGTAACTACTCTAATTTTGTGTACCGTAGTTCCTCAGTAACTACTCATTAGTTCCTCATTAGTTCATCAGTAACTACTCTAATTTTGTGTACCGTAGTTCCTCAGTAACTACTCATTAGTTCCTCATTAGTTCCCCAGTAACTACTCTAATTTTGTGTAGCTTAGTTCCTCAGTAACTACTCATTTGTTCCTCATTAGTTCCTCATTAGTTACTCATTCGTTCCTCATTAGTTACTCATTAGTTCCTCGTTAGTTCATCAGTAACTACTCTAATTTTGTGTACCGTAGTTCCTCAGTAACTACTCATTAGTTCCTCATTAGTTACTCATTAGTTCCTCAGTAACTACTTTAATTTTGTGTACCTTATTGTAAAGTGTTACCAAAATTTGGTATTCGATATTCGTTTTTTTATTTACTTATTTTTTAAATTTTTTTTTGTGCTAAATGTAGTCTTTTTGTAGGTTATCAGTAAAAATCAAAACTTTTAACTTGCATTGTTGAAAATGTGAAAATATAGTATCGCCTACCAACTGAGCTTGTGCGCACGGCACGCTTGAGTGCATCCGTCTGAGGCTGTGGATCAATGCCAAGTTTTACCACTTTATCACTATTCTTTCTAACTTGTAGCTGTTTTTTCGTTATGTTTTGAATTTAATATGAATTATGAAACCGTTTTTGTCAACGTTTCTTTCCCCCGTTTTGTACAATAAATTGTTTAAAGTTTCAACAAGTTTCTTTTGGAGTGTGTGACACAAGTGTGTTTTGAAAACGACCGCGGACTGTCACCTGCTCAACGCATCAGTACCTTCGGATGCCATGACAGTAATAGATTATAGATTAATAGATTATAATAATAATAATGTCAAAATATCATTTACAGACCGATTTAACAGACGATCACTGCTGCCCAACCCGCAGGTCCATTTGCGGGTCCCGTGGGTTACGGGTCGACCCGCGCATCACTACTCAGCTCAGTCTATAAATGCTCCTGTACAACAGTAGACAATATATTCTATTCTCCTTATAATTAGGTCCGAAAAAACTCCGGAGGAGTGCTTCACAAGGAGTCTTTGAAAGGAGCCGAGCCTGGTGTAAAACTGGAGAGAGCAGGCAGCACGGCCACAGCACGCACCCTGTTCGTTTCTGCTGCTGGTTGAAAGCTGGACTCGCACTGTGTGCTGAATGATTTATTTTGCTGGCACAAAACTATTTTTAGTCGCAAATGCGAGTAAAATGCTCGCACGTAGAGCTATGCGGAAAACAAATCACTGCCGGCAAGTAAAAAGTCATAAATAGTAACATTCACTGCTCAAAGGTACTCACATGTCTGGAAAACAAACCACTACAGCAGCATATTGAGTGCCAGGTGGCCAGCACGCGCCGTTAAGCCCTTTTCACACAGAGCGCACAAAGCGCAGACCTCCGCCGACGAACCCATTCATTGTGTATGTGCTACCGCCAGCATGCGCCATTATTGGACGGCGCATGGACACACACAGAAAAGTGCCGCGAGAATAAAAAAAAGAAAGAAAGTCAGATTAAATATTCCTTCTGCAACAATTTTAAGACCTTTGAGTAATGAATGTAAGACCAATTTAAGACATTTCTAATGAATTTAAGACATTTTCAGGCCTTACTTTTAGATACATGAATTTAAGACTTTTTTAGACTTTTCAAGGATCCGCGGGTACCCTGTTCACATATACACCCAACATTTCCACAATTTGATCTTGTAATTCCTAATATGGTTCAAGCCAAGCGGCAACCTATGGGGCTGAAAAATAAAGTCAACACATTACTGCTAAAAACTGCAGTACTTCTAATAACAGTTGTGAGTCTCTATAGCTCCTTTCCCTATTCATTACAACTGTACAGAGGATGAATTTTAGTGTAACTCATACGTTTAAATGTTATTAAAGTGATAGTTCAGGTTTTTGGACATGAAGTTGTGTGAAACTACTGACAACTTCATGTCCAAAAACCTGAACTATCACTTTAAGGTAGCGTATTATCAGTATTGGGAAGTAACTAGTTAGATGTAAACAGATGAAATTGTAATCTGTTACTGAGAAAAAACATGTATTTAAATCACAGTAACTAATCAAAATGTTGGTGATTACAAAGGGTTTACATCCAAATACAGTTTTGTTTTTTTTTTCTCGGTAAAAAGTTTATAAGTACAGTGTAGCATTCATCCTGTTGTGTTGAATCTTTTTGCCATGCAGTTATGCCCTCTTATGCCACAGCCTATTTCCAAACATCAGCTTTTTTTGCAGTTTAAAGGATGTTAGAATGAAAAGTAATCAAATTTAAGTTACATTATGTTGATAATGTAATTAAAATGGTTACATTACTCTTTACTTTTTTAACAGGATAACTAGTAATCTTTAATCTTTTACATTTTAAAAGCAACCTTACCAACACTGCATATTATTGGATAACGCAAATCTGGCGTAACCCCAGATTTACAAAGTGCAGTAGCTGTCCCTGTTTAAGTGTATTAACAGTGCATTAAAAGTTAACTGTAACATTTTGGTAACCTACGAGTGTCTTGGTCAGCAGATATTCATTTTTTCTGGTAAATACATTTTGTTTTATTGGTTGTAAGCCTGTTTTTTTTTTTTTTTTTTCGGTAGCGAATATTAGCATTTGCATTATCAAAATAAACAATAGCGGTAAATGCATCATGCTAACAAAGCTAGCAGCTATTATTAGGGTTACCTTCACCTTCCCATCTAAATGTGGTCACTTCTGGCTCCAAAAATCCAAGATGGTGACAGCCAAAATGCCAAACTCAAGGCTTTAAAACAGGAATCCACTAACCAACAGATGACATCACAGTGGCTATGTCCACTATTTAATACAATCTTGGTTAGAGCTCCAAGTACACTGGGAGCTAAACGTCCCATAATGCAACTTAATAATTTAAAGTCTCCCTAATGACATCATCATAGGTTATTTTCTCAAACTTTAGAAAGCAACACAACATATTTTTAAAACTGTTTTCATCAGTCACATCATACTCCTGATGACAAGTGAAGTTTGTATTCTCCCTTAATGTAACTATGTTTTAAAGGGACTTAAAAATAATGTTATTAAGCAATTTTCTGTAGTTACTGTTGACCACAACCAAGTTACCCAAATAACAACAGCCAACCAAACAACTAAGCAAGTTGTATACAGTATGTAAAACTAATGGAGGCACGGGGATGCAGTGGTTAGCACTTGTCACCTTACAGGTCCTTGTCCAGGTCCTTCAGTTTTCCACAATCCAAAGACACGTAAGTCAGTTTAACTGGTGACCCAAAATTGCTCGAAGGTGTAAATGTGAGCACGAATGGTTGGCTGTATCAAGTGTCAGCCCTGTGATTGACTGATGACCTGTCAGCAATGTCAGCTAAGATTGGCTCCAGACCCCCACCCCCTCCAAATCAAAAGTAACTGACCTTCATCTGCCTTTTTCCATCCATCCACCAGGTGCCTTTGGTCTTTCCCCATTACCTGACAACCTACCCATCTTCTTTTCTAACTTCCTGCATCTGGCCTTCCCTGTCCACCTCATCAGCTACTCTCTATATTCCAGCCCAGATTCTTTGTTACTCTGTCAAATTATCAAAATTGCAATGTAGTTTTCAGTCATTGCTTTTAAGCTTCTGTTATCTGTCTGCCTTATACTGCCTTGCCTGCTCTACTGCCCTCCCAGTTTGGTACAGACTACCTGTTTGTTTGCCTGCCTGTAAGCTATGTTTCATGAATAAACCATTGAAATTATCCTACTGCCTTAAATTGCATTTGGGTCTTTCTCTTGTTGCCACCCTCCCACACTGAATCATGACACTTTTTCTCTGCAGAATAACAAATACCGCAATGTAAATATAAAAGAATGCATGACATCACCTTTGACTCGAAAGAAGTTGTCCACATACTCCTTGATCTCGTGGTGGTCCCACCCCAGCAGCTGCCCTACTTTATCTGACATGCCCTCCAAATCAATGACATTGCGTGCTCGACAGGTGACCACCACAGTACATCCTGGTAGAAGCTGACGATTTAACAGTGCTGAGATGAGATCTGCAACAGGCAGAGGCTTTTCTGGGTCCAATAGCTCTCTCTGCAGCTCTTGTCTGGTGAGTTTGCTATGAAACTCATCATAGCCATCCAGCACCCAACAGGTTTGCTCTGGATTGGAAAGGAGGTAGTCCACAATGGCTCTCTGCTCAGAACACAGAATATATGAGGAATGTAAGAATAACAAAGGACATCGTATTAGTTCACCTCGTTATACTAGTAACTTTGTTCAATGTCAATTGCCTTTTTAAAAAATGGTTTAAAATACAACATCTGACTGGTGGACATGTTGAGCGGCAATATCATAAACCCTTTATTCTCTAAAGTCTCTCTACACAAGTCCTCTGACTGTACTACTGTTGAACAAAGATAAGATACACTTTATTGATTAAAAAGGAAAGATAAAAAGTGATTCAGTGATGACTAAAAAATTAACAAGATGAAAGAAACATGACAAAAACACAAATAAGATAAAATAAAAATAGCAGGATGGCACGGTGCAAGCCATTGGAAATAACAGGTTTGAGAGTGCAGTGGTTTCATTTTGTCTTGTGTCTGAAAGGGCCTTAATACAGATCATGGATGACTGCATTAAATAGATATGATAATACACACATTGTGTGTAGCATTGTACTGAAAAATTGCACAAGATAGTTGAATATAAAGGACATATATACATATATATATATATATATATGCATACCTTTTCATCGTCGCCCCCTTTTGGAGGGAGGTAGTGTCGAAATAGCAGCTCAGACACTGAGAGAGGATGGGACAATATGTTGAGCTGACGAAACTCTAGCAGGACAAACAGGTAGGATGAAGGGACAGAACCCTGGATGATACGAGAGTGAAGAGGATACAAACAATGAGAGAACAAAATAAAAACAAACTGAGAGAATAAACCAAGTATCAAAGGAACAGCTCAAGTCTGCATTAGCCACTGCAAGCATAACACTTGAATCTTCCACTGAACTGTTGGGGATCAGCTGCACTTTGGGTAATATCGGTGCCAAGTTTTTTTGTTTGGTTGTCTGCTTGTTTTTTGTTTGTTTTATCCTTTAAAAACCTGTCAATCATATGACTGACAATGTTGGAGGGAGTGAAATGCTAAATTGGCAGAATGCTCTTGTAAAATCATGTTTTTATCCTGACCCTGATCCAAGACAAGTATTGAAAACATTTCATATTAAACGTTGATCTGAAATGAATAAAGCCTTAGTCTTAATCTGTAGTAAGCTTAAAGGAGCAATAAGCGAAATTCATCATTTCTAGATTGAAGGAATTAAAAAATCGCTATGTCAAAACCAGAGGTGTAATTTCATCTGGAGTATAGCATGACCTCACACACCCTCTCTTTGTGTTGATCTCCAGCCCATTGTTCACAAGCCGGTCTGGCTGCGCGTTCATGTACGTTCATGTGAATCGCCGCCTCTTTCCTCCTCTCAGAGCCCTTGGCCCTCCCTCCCTATAAAAGGCTACAGCCAGTGAGCAATGGCAGCGCGTATTTTCAAAGCGAAATGGCGGGGAGCGGAACGAAACGTCCACCTGAAGACGACCAGGATCCGACATTACCTCTAAAGAAACAACGGTCGTTGGCGAAGAAGTTGTCAGATAAAGAAAGTGACAGAACCCGGATTAACATTGGCCTTGCATTTCCAAGGTGGAGAGCACTGCGAGAGCTAAAGGGGCTACAATCTGACTCGGAGCTAGCTCTTCTTCTCCTGGACAGGTAACGTTAAGTAACAACATAAAGTCAAATGTCTGTTTTAATTAGTGTTAGAGTAACGTTAGGCACATGTCGCTATGTCGATTCAATTAAATTTAATGTTACAATCGTAGCATGGGTTAATGTCTGGAGCTTGAGTTATTAGCAGCTCGGTCCCAGCAATGGGTCAAGTGTTACGGTTGTGTTAGGTGAGTAGCCCGGCAGCCCACCTAACATTTGTAATTAGCATTGTAAATGTAGCCAGGCTAAAACATCGCTCTCACTCACGGAGAAGAGGAGGAACGTTAGCATTACTTCCCGGTGTTAGCACTAGCTGGGATCCGGCGATGGCTCTAGCCGAGTCGGCTGCCACCGGCTACTGGATTAACTTACAGCTATGGAGCGCTTCTACCAGCTCTTCTAGTCACTGAGCCTCGCCTCCATCTCAGCAAGTATTGTATATTACATTTATTACAGGTACCATCATCATTGAAGTAGGCAGGGGAATAGCTAAACACAGCAGAGACCGAGAGTGAGTGAAAGACATCGCTAACTGCTAAACTAAGTTTAGACAAGGCGAGTGGGGGGGTGGGGGTGGAGAGCAGAGGTAGAGGGAGGTGTGACTCATGACACACTTTGTTTTGGTCTACAGGCAGTGCACAACAGCAAACCTAGCAGTGAAACGATTTCGCTTTTTGCCCCTTTAAGTTAAGTTTATAAACTCAGTTAAGTTTAAGTGAAACTTAATATGGGGAACCTTTATGTGTTTTTTACTGTGACAGAAATGATTTAGGCTACATCCACGCTAACACCTTTATATTTTGTTACATTTATGCCTAGCGTCCATACTGCAGCATTTTGAAACTCCTAAAAATTGAAAATGCTGCAGACCCCGTTTTAGTTTGAGAATCCGTGGGTTGCATTTGATTCTGGACGGGCTGAAACTAAGTCTTTTTTTTTTTTTTTTTTTTTTAAATGATGAGGCAGACACTCACGTTTGCTTCACGAAAGAGGCTTTTCAGTCACGATGTGTCGTCAAAACATTATAGCTAGACCTGCATACCTTTATTATATAGCAGTCTTAAGTGGGTACTCCATTTCCATTGCCATAGCTTCCTCTGGTGATGGATAACATTAATGCTCCTGGTACCACTCTAGTAAGTCGCTGTATTTGCTTTGTAACCACTTCCAATCTGTTTTTCACTGCCTTATACTCAAGTGTTGCTTTCATTAACAGTTCCACCTCTTTGTCAGCCCAAGCAAAATAAAATCTCTGGTCTTAGTTAGCATAGCATTTTCTGTAACGAAGCAACCAACTGCTGAGTAGACAGTCTGCTTCCTGTTTACATTGGTATGTGCATGTCCGGTCATGTGATATGTGTTTTCAGGCATGTCAGTATGGATGGTGATAATATCTGATACAGTGCTAAAATGCTGATGTGTACATAAATCCTTTTAGTTGTAAAACCATGTTAGAGTATGTTAAGCCCTTAGACAGCCTTTAGATGCCTGGGACATCACTCGAGGTAATTCAGATTTCACACAGCTCCCTCTGGAGACACAAAAAGGACTCATACAACTTTCTTCACATGTAATTCCCAAGACCTGCAAACAAACAGTGATGGTGGAGTTCCCCTTGAAGTGGAACTGGAAGCTGCTAAGGGTTTGTTTGTGCTGACTCCATAGTTCACTTGCTCAAAAAGCTGTGTGTTAGATAGTTTTCAGGTGAGTTTTTGCCTAATGTGTTATATGACTCAAAGATTTGGATTGCACAAATAAAAAATGTGCAGATCCCAACACATTCAAGAAGTTTGAAACTTGTGTACTTTTCTTATTTACTCAAAGGTCAGGTCACATTTTTGAAAGTTTGGCGTCATTTAGAAAACATCTAATGTTTCTGAGTAGCTGATTCTTTGCCTTGTCTTCTTCTTGATAATAATAGTTCGATCAGCCCTGACACCAATCCCAATTAGCGCAGAACATCCCTTATAGTGATGATTTTTTTTTTTTTTAAATGATTGAATGAAGACAAAAGGGTAAACGTACTAGTCCACGTGCCCACTGCTGTCCTAAGCAAGACATTAGCAGAGTTTTTCCAGATCCAGCCTGGCCAACGAGAACTGTCACCTTCCCTGCACATCCTTGGAGGAAGGTTTCCAATGTCACTCTGGAATCCGTAGACCCAAAATCTCCATCAGGCTCTGAGTTTGGTGGAATAAAAATGTTTAGTTAATGGAGTCAAGATTTTAAGCACGCATTAGAAGGATAGTGTACTGTCTGTATGGCCAAATCCCATCATAGGAGATGCACTGCTTTTCAAGTTTGATTTTTTTTTAACTCATTAAATGTCAGTTTTTTTCTTGCCTACATGTACCACACTGATGTATATTGTAAAACATTTTAACTTGAAGATTAGATTTGCAAGTAAATTCAGCATATTCTTGATATACAAAGGCAGGAAAAGGAAATCATGCTAACCAGGTGTTCTGCCCCCTTTGTCTGCTGGGCCAGGGGTTTGATCAGGCCTGTCCCTGCCTCTGTTCGATGTCCTTAGGCTGACCCACACATTCTCCAGCTGGACCTCCCTCACCAGGTGCTCACTGAGTATTTCCCACCTCCTTTGCAGTAAACTCACCACTGCAGCAATGTACTGCTCCCAGTGATCTGTGTAGAATGTAAAATTATAAACACATTATTTCTAGAGATTAGTTTCTATGCAGAGAAAATTGTTCTCCTTGAGGAGGTGCAAAGTTGCAATACACACACAAAAAACCCAGCAGCCTTAATTTTATAATATAATATGCCGCATCCCACAGGGCCAGATTGTTCCTTATTTATTTATTAATTCATATTTAACTTCAGTCTCAACAGACAAATTCCTGTTCATATGTGAACACACCACATTTTAAGAACATTTAAGAACACTGACCATTCAAAAAAGTCACAATACAAGAACCCGATTATTTGGTTTGAAAAGGTCTGTGTGTGTCTGCCAAATAAAATTACTCATGAAATCCAAAACACTTACAAAGTACTAAAAACTAAATCAGGTGCCTGGTATTTACAGTTCATGCACAGGGAGTTGGCTCTTGGTCATTCAAGTAAGCTGGTTTTGGTTCAGCACAATTAAACATGAGAACTGGTTAAGCCTGGTAATATGATCCTCTGTAAAAGAGGGATAGTTAAGATGCCTGGTTTACTCCCACAGTTAACACATTACTGTGGAATGGAGCCATCACTTGCTTTCACTTTTAAATTTTACTTTGACTTTTATAGTTATGGCCTGATGTTGGTAGGAAGCAACACTTACTAATAACTCTGTCAAAGTGTTTTATGTCCAGGGATTAAGGATAGTATGTCACAGGGTTGTGTTTTGTTGTTGTTGTTTTTTACTCTCTGCTTTCTTTCATATACCTCATGACGTGATTTAGTGTCATATACTTTACATGGAAAATTTCAAACACAAAAAGTGCTTTTCTCATCTCTGAGAAAATTTTACTAACATTAAATCTTTTAAAGTTTCACATTACAAAGAGAAACAAAAGATCTTGTGTTATTTTTGACATGTCATGTTAGCAGTTTTACAGCTACAGTATGAGGACAACTTTCTTTAATGAAAATGCTTTTATCGCATATAAGAATGTTTTTTATATATATATAAGTACATACTGCAATTGCCAGTACATTGGCAGTAAGGCTGACTCTGCCACACGGTATCTAGTTTTGGACTTTAACCAGTGAATGGCCTTTGCCACGTCAGTTTGTGGCTGCAGTGTAACAACACTGATGCATTGTGTGTATGCTCTACCAATCCGTGGACGTTTGATAGGCTGCTGCTCTGAAGGCGGCAATGTCAACTTCCCATCCGTTAAACTGGGGCTGGAATTTTCAAAAATATCTGCAGTGAAAAAAAAAACACAAACAAATCATACAGTGAATAAAAAATACCAGGGAATGCTGAAAAATATCCAAAAAGAATAATGTCATCAAGAAGCTTGCATATGTTGCATCCTATTCTTAGGCTCTCACTTTCAGTTTATACATCATCTACAAAAACTTCAAGGGGAATGCCGGGGATTACCAAAGGGAAAAAAAGTCATAAGAATTACTGAAGTTATGCTGAGTGTTGCTGTTTCTCACCGCAGCTGTCTTTCACTTTCACTTTTCTACTTTAGTTTGTCAAGAGGGCTCATCTATTGTGACGCACTTAATCCGTACAGAAGTACAGACACACGTTTCACCTAAAAACAGACCCCAGGGTCACTTGCCTTATATTGTATGTCGTTTATGTATTTTTCCGGATGAGCCACATTTCAATTATGGAGCTATTCTGGGTGTGCTAAATATGCAGATACACAACAGCAGAACAAAGTCAACAATACCTGAGTTTGTTTGGAAAAGATGGCAGCATACAATTTACACTATAAAATGTTGCCTTTTAAATCACTGGATGTATGACAAGATGTGTATGAATCAATAGAAAACACCTGGAGCCTGTTTAAGTATTTATGTATGCCAGTGCAGCCAGGCACAAACAAAATGTATAATTCTCTTTGCATATACATGCATGCATACATACATACACACAAATAGTCATACTGTACATAGGCCACTGAATATATTTGTTCATGCTTGCACAGACAGCACAACTGATAACTGGCTGAGACACTGGCTCTATAGCATCAGCTGAGCAAACAGCAAACAAAAAATTATACTGTTTGCTAGGTCAGCTCACAGACAGTTTTTTGTTTGTTTTTCCACTCCATATTGTGTTTGCCCAACTCAGCAAACAACCATTTGTGATTCAGTACTGTGCTGAAGTCACAATTTAATGAGAGCACACTACGCCTATGGTTTAACAGTAGATGGCTGGCCAGGTGCGGTAACCACAATGTTTAAATAATCATCAGAGTACCTCATTCAAATGAGTGACTATGCACAGATGGATTACATATTCCAAAAGTAAACAGGATTCTGATTAGACTGATTAGATTAATTTGTTAATTGTGAAATAAAGACTAACACTGTAAATGCAATGCTAGTGAATTACTTAGGGCAATGTGGGGTTGCACTTGCAATCAATGATGCAATAGGAGGCGCTTTCCATAACGCTCTTTTGTTTTAACGCCTAGAGAGAAATGAAGCCATGCATTAAACGGTGTCCAAGTAAAATATGTACCAACACATATATGCAGGTACTGGGGAACAAGAAGTGAAGTTATGGAATAACAATTTGGAATCTTATAAAAAACTCATTCTGTTGTTCTTTCTTAATTACTGATGACCTATTCTACTATACTATTCGACCTACTGAGCAATAATCTGGATTTTGGGAGGAATTTAGCGAGAATTTATATTGTAGTTATTATTTTACTACTGGGTATCAGTCCTACTACTATTACAGGCTACAGTCTGACCACAAAACTGAGCTTTTACTTCAGAACAAGTAAACCTGAAGTCTCAGGGGACAGTGTATTGTCATGGATACTGTCAGCTTCAGGGGACTGTCTGAGCTTCCAGTCACCTCACCACCTCATTTCATTACTGGATGTTGGTTTATGGCCTTGTGGCCCTGCCTGCCGTAGGAGGACAGAGTTCACCTAGCCTAGATGTCACACACGTGTGTTTCTCTGTAACCACATGTTGACCCCTGTGACTGCCCCCTTGTTACATTTAGTTACAGGGAATGCAGGCTGTAATCTAAAGCACTTGTATCTTGGAGAGAGAGACAGGAGAGACAGGGTGGAGAAAGAGGGGATGACATTCAGCAAAAGCCTATAGGCTGGAATCAAACCTGGGCTGCTACTGTAAAGACTCATCCTTACCTAGTGTGCTCTATCAGGTGAGCTACAAGGGCCACTGACAGTATTATACTGTTACACAACAACAACAACAACAACAACAAGTGAGTGATATCTAAGGTGGGTGAATTGTCTATGATGATGGCAAGCAGAGCCATAAACCAGCAGTGGGGTGAACAACAGCTGAGACTCTTGAGAGTCTTCAGAGGCCGATAGTATCCATGACCATACACTGTCCCCTGGACCTCTGCTCCCATGTAGACACACAGATTAACCCCATGGTCATCTTAAGCACCCTAAAATTATACAGTAACACTGTAGTTTGTCTCTTTCTATAGTAATACGGTCATTTTGAAATAAAATCACATCAGATTTATAAAGTGATGCAGAGGTTGTCACCCCATCTTCCCTGGAACGTCCAGATTTTGGCCCCACTGTATGCTCATACAGAACCCTGTGATAGTAATAAAATAGGTACAAAGTAGTTAATTAAAGGGAAATTTCGGTTTATTTCAACCTGTCTCCTATCGTCCTAAATTTGTTTCAAGTGACTAGCGACATAAAAATAATAGTTAGCATGTTAGCCGTTAGCCTAGATACAGCCAGGGCACATAGTAGCGTCAGACCTGTTAAAACGTAAGTGAACGGGCAACCTTCAAGTGCAAAGTTAGTCCACTAAACAAGCTTTTTTTCCACAAAGACCGCCTCATATCGTTAGGATAAATGTCGGAGAACATATAGAAAATGAAATGTAAACGTGTTGTCTTACCTTACCGGTGTGGTGCCATGTTTGTTTACCATTTAGCTCAGCTTTCCAAAGCTCTGCTGAAATATTGCGAGAACAAGCAGCAATCTCATACCATGCCTGAAATCACTATGTTGCAGGCCGTAATCTGAAGTGTTACCTGTCATTTTTGTTAAGTTATCCTTTACTACACATACACATTAAGTTTTATTTGACATCATTTCTCTCTTGAATGGACTGTCCTTAAAACACTAAGCTATCTTTTCCCTAAACCTTGAATGAAACTAAACATAATGACTGCACTGAAGCCACTTAACCACTCAAGCATTACTTGTCAAAATAACATCATTTTGTACTCACTATTTGCATATCCAGCTATTGACATGAGCCTTGACTCCAGGTGCATGGGGATGTTCTCGCACAACATACACATGCTCTGGAGAAAGCTGCGGCAATCTGTAGCGTTGGCCACCCTGAAGTACTCCAACATGGCTTTGATTTGTTCTGTTGTGGGAGCCAGGTTGATGTTCCATCTAGCATCACTCGGCATCATTTGACATAGCTCCATTATGATCGCTGGTGACTGACTGCTAATGATGTGGAGCAGTTCTGAGGATTCCTGAGCCAAGACGAGGTTGACATTTTCATCGTCAGGGTCAACTTCCTTATCCATGGTCAGACTCCATCAGCTGACAAACAAACACGCAAACATGAACACAAGCACACATTCGTAAACTCACACAATCACAATCTCAATCTCACGTCATAGACAGCTTTAACTGAGGAAAAAATACAACAAAATAAAACTAATGGAGAGCCACCTACATTTTTGTAGGATTTCTGTTAGTCAGAAAAATGTAAGCATACATACTTTAAACACTTACACCTCAGAGGACTATCAACCTAATGACCACAACCAACATCAGCATCACACAGAAAGCCATTGCTTGCAAAGTGGACACAGAGAAGCAGATTATGCCATTTCATGTAAAGGAGTTAAACACAGTGCTCCTTTTTTCAGTTAGTTAGCTAGTTTTTTGATGGAACTTCATTAATAGCCTAAAGGTATTTCACCTTCTACAATGAGTTAATAGACATGTTCAAGAGTCACAAATGACTTAATGGTGGCTGCAGATTCCTGTGCATGTTCTGTGTTAATGTTGTAGCATTTGACACCGCTGACCATTCTATTCTCATAGGGAGACTTAAACAGTGGGCGGGTATTACTTTAATCGCTCTGCAGTGTTTTGTTTTTACATATAAACAACAGGAAACTTTTTGTCTCTGCTGATTTTCCTCAAGAACTCCTCAGTCAAAACATGGAATACCACAAGGATCAGTATTGGGACGTGTTCTGTTCACACTATACTGTGGCATATCCCCAAATGTAGGTCACTTCCGTCCTTCAGTAACAGAGAAAATCACACATGCTCTAATATCCTCCCGCCTTGATTGCTGTAATGCCTTGTTCACCCGCCTAAACAATGGAGCTACACGTAAGTTCCAAATTATTCAAAATTCAGCAGCTAGACTTTTCTCCAAAACAAAACAATCCTTACACATCACACCTATTTTGGCTTCCCTGCATTGACTTCCAGTCTCTTTAAGAATCCATTTTAATCACATACAAGGCTCTTAATGATCTGGCACAGGAGTAAATATTTGACAAAACAGGCCCCACAGGTCTGCTAGTCTAGGTCTTTTTGCCTGTTCAGTTCTGGCTCCTAGGCTCTCAAAGAGCCTACCAATGAGCATCACCTGACTCTGTTCAAGTCTTAAAACCTACTTTTACATAATGTTTCTTCCTAGCAGTTAACAGACTTATTGTGTATGGTGTGTACATATTTGCAGCCATATATGTGTTTGAGTGTATATGTAGGTGTGTGTATGTATGTGCTCATGTTTTATAAATCTCACTCTTGTATTGTATTTTCTTAACCTTGGAAAGCACTTAATGCTTTCAGCTCAAAAAATCTCCTGCAAATAAAGACATGTTCACTATCATTTAGCACTAAAACGTTTCACACACTTGCTCTGGTTGGTTTTAAATATATGTAATTAACTTACCATTATTGTATAGGCCCATTTTCTTGGGTTTTGTTTTATATTTTTGTTCAATTAAGATCAGTGTGACTATCAAATAATGTTGTCAATTAAAAAAAAACGAGGGTAAATTCAGCTAATTATAGTAATTACGAAAGAGGCACCTGAGATAACTGTGCTTAAGTCGACCCGAAATGTCGAACATACACTCGTTTGCGCAGCACCCTATAATGCCTTATTTTTTCAGTAGATAGCTCGTGCGCACAGGTTATATTTCATCACTTTTTGACGGCCATAAAGCTTAATGTCCTCAGTGTACATTAACTGTCCCAAAACAAGCCCATGAGGACAGAAAGAGTGCTTTTACCTGATGCCCTCCAGCCGAGGTCATTTAAGGTAACGAGCATCGCAGTGTGCCGAGTCTTTAACCTGCAGGGAGCTCTACAGAAACAAGGCTGCACTAAATGGTGAAGGTCCTATTCGTTTAAAAGTTAACTAATACCTATATAGGGAAAAAAGGCACTCACCAACAATTGTCGTCGTAGACCGCATATCTCTGCAGCCAGGGTATCTCTTATTTAAAAACAAAACCAAAGGCAGGGGATTTAGTTTTGGTTTCGTTTTCGCGCAGCAACTCAGATTCAAATAATAGCGGCAAGGCAGTCATTGTGCCCGGAGGCAGAGAGAGAGAGACACACACACACAGCATGCCTGTGTCAGTGACTACAAATTTAGGAAAGTATTTCACTGAAGAATGTGGGTTTCTGGCGGTGAGCGACATTTTGTTGTTCACAGCTCAGCCCACATCAAACAAGCACACGTGTGTGCTGCTGGGCTGAAAGACCTGTGGCTCCAGGTTTCATGAAAGCAAGTGTGTAAACAAGGATCAGACAGAGCTCGTGGTTAGGGTCACATGTGCCATTGCGTGGACTGATGTATGAGTTACGTCCTGCATTTGAATCAGGTTTAATTTACCATAATGGTAAGCATTGCATTAATTCGTAACAGCTAGGTGGAAAAAGCCAATGCTTAGTGACCAGCAAAGAGTCACGAACATGTTCAAGCACTAACTGGCGTCTGCATGTGCCTTGTAGGTTACTGTTTTGCTGCAGAGCCCCAGTCCACTTAAATCCACTGCAGAAAGTGTGGGGCTCTTGATTTTAGCTATGACTCAAAATGTGCCGCTGTGCAGTTTGACTTTTTCCACGCAGAATAATACACAACCGTGGCTGTGATCTGATTTCAATCAGTCTGAGATTCTGAGAGATAACCTGTTATGATCTCTTTATTTGCCATGATCCAGAAAACCTGGACTTAATGGTAGCCTACCTGTAGCAATATACTATTGATTTCAAGTATTTTAATTTATCATAGAAGCGCCTATGATCTATGTTCCTTGAGAAACATATTTTCTGCAATGCTCAATGCAAAAAGATGATCTGTAAGTGCTCTCAGGGAGACAGAGCAATCAAGGTGCCCCATCATTCTGCTCCTTTCCGCTCATCCCTTGGTGAGCTGCAGTCGCTTTTTATCCTCATTTTTTAGACACAAATAGATTACAGCACAAGTGGTTGAAGCGTTTCTACACTATGCTATCTCAATTTGGTAACTAGTCAGCAGGCTGGCTTTTTACAGAAGCTTCAACAACTGTCTTGTGCCTCAAATGTCTCACCCCCACCACACCACCCAACCTCTGACCTCCCAACCTGTCTTTTCCCTCTCAGTACTCCCGACACCTATCTAATTTCATTGAGCATGCGAAATGCAGCACGCGAAATGTTAGGTGAGCTTACATAAAAATAATAAAAACAAAAACATCAGCATGTTTATTACAAAAACAAATGATTTATGGACTTGCTCTCAGCGCAGGTAGACTGTTGAACAAGATGAGCATATAATGCCCATCTCTTTTGTTTTTTTAACTTCTAGTGGGACACCACTGGCAGCCACCACATACTTTAATTAGTTAATTAGCTAATTTTGTCACTTAAGACTTTGTTTTTAAAAGTTAATTTCTGAACACAGTAATTATTTCAGTCAAGAATTCAAAAAGCGGTCAACAAATCATTGTGTTTGGTAAGCATTAATGAATAGCAGAGCAAAATTGTAACTTTGACCTTTTTCTTTTCAAAGTAGCCAAAATAGCATGACTCTAACATCTGACCAAGTGAGGTAAACCCTGGAGTGGGAGGACTTGCCTGTGAGCCATCAATCAGCTTCATGCTCGCGCAACTGCCTGGGTGGGTAAACCATAACCTGAAAATCACAGCAAGTAATCTTAAACAGTATTTGATGAGAAACACGAATAAAAAACATTGTAGGAGTCAGTGTGTGTGTGTGTGTGTGTGTGTGTGTGACTGATTTTACCATCCCACCAAAACATTTAGTAAACATACTATTCAGTAAGATCTTAACAGAGACACAGTATTTCACTATTCTGTTTTTCTCTTCTCTGACGGAGCTTCAGTAGATTGTACATTTGTGTGAACATTACATTCACAGCATAGACAAACATATGTTCAATCCATTTCACATGATTGCATAACAGTTCACCAATAAAACACATTTTCTGACATCCAAGGTAAATCTCAAAGCAGTGCTGTGGCAATATTTTCTGTTAACAATTACAGTATGTCTTCTAATGTTTGGGGCTGTATTGCATATTGGTTCAAACATTATTTTTGCTTAATCAATATACAGTCAATCAATCCAGGGCGAGCTTTGTACCCTCCCACTCTTTGATGACATGAACACTTCCGTAACCTCACACAGCAACATTTAAAACTACTCAAATTACATGATGGAGTATGACAGAGGGGCCCTAACAAATGTGGCTCACAGAGAAATAACAAGTGTTCCTCATTGCACCCAAAGTTAGCTGACAACTGGCTCACTCTGACCGCTAAATACAACTCCCTCTGTAATATAGACTGAATGTCCTCTAAAAAGACACCATAGAGCTTGTAAAGCAATGACTGTATGTTTCAGGAGACAGCTACATTCCTGTATAATAGTGTTAAGTTAGTTAAGACAGCAATCATAAATGTGCAATTTATAAAGATAATTACATTCAATAAATGTTTTTGCTTACTTTGTGATTAAAGATATAACATAGTAAGTTATTTCTTGGTATGTTTACATGTGCACAATAAAGATCTCCATAATAATCCAATTTATGTGATAAAAATATTCTGATTATTCAGAAGAAAAGATTTTTATTGAGCTCAATACGGTTTCTTAGGATGCCTGCTGAACTTTTGGGTTGTGTGTGAGCAACATAAAGATTAATAATTATTAATTGACTAATTAATTAGTACATATTAGTTATAATCAAATAATGATTAATTATTCATTAATTAATGATTGGAAAATTGATTGTAACATCATGTCATGTCAAAACACGCACCAAAACTGCAGTGCCCCTAATCTGTTTCCAAAAAACAAAACCATCCTCTCATCTGCTCATCTCTACTCACCTGAGCACAAGCAAGTTTATTGAAGAAATTACCAAACAAGCTAAACCACAAAAAAGCAGGACTATAATGTCAGCTGTCATCTACCTCTCATGTAAGCCTATTTACTGTCTGACTGTCTGATATAAAATTTTAAATTCCTACTATAAATTTCAAATTTCACAGCATAGTCTAGCATTGAAGACTGTCAGTCAATCAATCAATCAGTCAATTATGAAACATCTTAAAGGTGACTTATAAGATGTGAGTTATAATATAACAGATCTCTGTTACAATAATTTTTAGCATTTTAACATATACATATGCATGTGTGTGTGTGTGTTAAGAAAAGAACTCAAAAGCTACTCCCAAATTTAGTACCAGCAAAATATTTCAAATGCTTCAAGACTCAGCTGTCATCCTTACCATATTTGGCATGTTAGTCTGCCTGAACCTTTGCTTTGTAAGCACACCAGACTGAATATAAGGGGTCCAAGGAGAGGCTCAGGGAGTGTGGTGGAAGACCAGTGAAGTTCCTGCTTGTGGTGAGGTGGTCTACTATTATGCATTGTACCATTTACATGTATTCCTCTTTTTTTAAAAGTAGTTTACAAAATATACTGTCATGTTAGACTGAAGGTATGTCTTAATATTCCATGCACTCTGTGCATCTTTGACACAGGATTAAATTTCTATTTTTTTTCCCATAACTTTACAATATAAATGTGTAGACAAAGTTCACACTTCATTTTTGATTATTTTTCCTGCACTAACTAATATATAATGTTTTCAATAGGTTTGTGGAATATAACATTCTTTTCACAAAGGGAAAGAGTAAGGTATGTACAACTTTTACTCTTGATTTTAACATATGTATAAATGTTGTGTGTTTAATCAGTAACCTCAGGTGTTGTGCATGCAATATGGACAAAACTAAAATAACAACTGGTGTTAATTGTAACAGGAATAAGCCAAGTCAATTTTATTTATATAGACCAATATCACAAATCACGAAATTTGCCTTAAGGGGCTTTACGATCTTTACGGCACAAGACACCATCTGTCCTTAGAGCTTCAGACCACTTGAACGGGGAAAAATGGGAGAAAACTCATGCAACAGATGTTGTGTGTACAGAATAGACCAACAGTAAAAAAAAAACAAAAAAACTGCAGCATAGACAATCTCTGCTGTTGGTCTGAAAGGCTTTTATGAAGCAAAAGTAAAACATTATTTTGGTGTGAACATATTAGTTTAGTATAACACCAGGAACTTAAATCTTTTTTTTTAATTAGATTTTTAGAGGTGTTTTGCCTTTATTTGTTAGACCAGCTATAGCATGATGGGGGACAGACAGAAAGGGGGGATTGCATACCACTGTGGCAAGGACACAGCCTTTGTACAGAAGATGCATGCTCTACCAGGTGAGCTAGTGGATGCCCTGAAAACATAATTCTAAGATTGCTATTGTTTGATTTGCTACACAGACATAAGCAGCCACCATGAGTACAGACGCGGAGATGGCCATCTATGGCAAGGCTGCCATTTACCTCCGGAAGCCAGAAAAGGAGAGAATTGAGGCTCAGAACAAACCTTTTGATGCCAAGAGTGCCTGCTACGTGGCCGATGCCAAGGAGCTGTACCTGAAGGCAACAATCCTCAAGAAAGATGCTGGTAAAGTCACTGTCAAAGTCCTGGACACTGAGGAGGTTGGTATCATAAATCTGAGTAATCTGGAAATTCAATATGAACAGTTCTGATAATCAAAAATGTTATAATCCAGGAGAGGACAGTCAAAGAAGATGACGTCTCTCCAATGAACCCTCCCAAGTATGACAAGATTGAGGACATGGCCATGATGACCCATCTCAATGAAGCCTCTGTGCTGTATAACCTCAAAGAGCGTTATGCAGCATGGATGATCTACGTAAGACAATGTGCCTAATGACATAAGAGTATGGTTGGAAATAATTGACAGAAACAAAGAATTAACTGATGAATCTCTGTGATCACTTTCAGACCTACTCTGGGTTGTTCTGTGCCACTGTGAACCCCTACAAGTGGCTCCCAGTATACGATACTGAAAATGTAAATGCCTACAGAGGCAAGAAGCGTATGGAGGCTCCACCCCACATCTTC